ATGATATCTAGATCTGGGGAGAAAAAATAACAAATACCGAACTTCGCTACACATGTACTTACCGGTATATTGTTGCACTTGTATCAAATGATTCATGTGCCAATTATCCTTGCTCTTTGGTTGAAGATACTCTTGAGTTCTGGTAAATATAGAAAATAAGTTCCCACAGAATTCAACAAAACTTAAAGGGAATGTAAAATTAGAATAAAGTTCAATTTTGTGAAACAGATGCAACATGTGCCCTCCAAAACCATTATTGTGGCGTTACGGACATTACAGTTTTGTCCACTTTCATAAAGTATTGATTTTAGATGACCAGTTCATTAACAATACAAATCGAACACTTACTTCACCTGCACACACATGCAATTTCTTTTCTTTAAGTTCTTTCCACTTTTTATTCAGATACTTCCTAAACAAAATCTTTATACGTGACGCTCTATTCCCCTACATACACCTATGACAGCACCATGTTCCCCCCTTCCCGACTGCTATCGACTTAAGCATTCTTGCTTATGATAGTTGGCCTCTGCATTTATCTTGATTATTTTTACTTACCTCCATATTTTCAAGCTTTCAATTATGCATTTTTATTTGTGTGTATTCAAGTTGTCACTCTTTATGTAAATGAATTATATTATAGTATTAATGACTGCTTTGAGAGAAATAGTTGTTTTATTACGCTCAAGGGAAGGTTAGAATTGTGCTATTCCCCGAGGCTTGCCGAGGGGAATAGCCCAATTGTAACCTTCCCGAGAGCGTATGAAAACAACTATTTCTCAAATATTAAAGCAGTCATTAATACTTTTATATGCCGAAAAAAAATAGACTAAAAAATAAAAAATAAAAAATACTTTTTTTTTTAGTCGAAGGTGAGAGTCGAACTCTTGCGTACAATGAGTGATGAATCTTACACCAACGCCTTACACCACTCGGCCATCGCGCGCTGTTCATGCTTGGCAGTTTTGTACAATATATACATTAAAATGGATTGAAACCGGCTTCGGCGTGATGAATGCTTCGCAAAAGCACCCTTCTTTTACTTTTGCAATGCATATTGGCACGAACTTAGATCAAGATCTATCGGCAGATGTTGTTTTTTTGTTTTTGGAAGTTTATTTTCGTCTTCATGTCAACAATGCAAGATAAAATTGTCGGTAAGATCGATCGAGATTCAATTGTATTGAAATTACCGACCAATCGCACACATACGGTATCCTCGATCGCTCAAACCATTTTTTAACATGTAAACCTATGGGGTAACCATGGAGGCTGACCTATTTTTTTAATAACCATGGTTATTAAAAATATTAAATGTTTTATGCATGGTTACCGGGAATTTTACAGTAACAGTTGAAGTTTATGAATGCAATTCGACCAATCAGATGGCTGGATTTCTTAAGTGAGGTATATAATATATAATATTATTGTTATTTGAATGTTTTATATTTGATTTATCAATAAATGCAGAAACATCTGCTAAAAATATTTAAAAAATAGTCAATTGTGTATATGAATATTTTCCATTCTTTTCTACTGGATGATCAATTAGACACATTTTCCAAATGTTCCTTAGCAAATTAATAAGCATTTTTTCTAGGAGTTGCAATTTGAGGATAATTCGTTTCGTTAAGAATTTTTGTAAGTATGCATGAAGTATGCTTAAACAGGTCTATTTTAATCTAATGACTTTGGTAATTTGCTATAAAGCACTTTAATCAGTTATTTGTGATTTATGAAAAAATGATAATCATGATGATTACCATTTTGATTGTACATGCATATCTAATGATGTTCTAGCAAATCCATATAACCTAGCTTCTGCTGTATGTTATGCGTACAGAAAATGGTTAACTTCTAATTCATTTTCTGAATCTACTTGCAACAGATCATGTAGCTCCCTCTTGCTCACCAAATAGCTACTTTGAATGTACCAACTTGGAATGTATCCCCAAAGAGAACCTTTGTGATCTTCGACCAGACTGTCTTTTTGGAGAGGATGAGGATAATACAATTTGTGGTAAGAAATGCCAGTTGGCCATTTATACTGATTTCTAGAGATAGATTATTCAAAATTCATTCACTGAAATAACACTTGATATGAGAGGACTCTTTTATCTTTTATCTTATAATTGATCTCAATATCCACCCTTTATGTGCCTTTGCATTTTGTTTGTTTGATAAACACACAGGTTTATTGCTTGAGTGCCTCTTAATGTTTCAAAATATAGAATTGAACCCGTTTCTGCATGCATATGGTATACACAGCATTTTTGGACAAGTAAGTTCTTTGTGTGCATGATCAGAATACACAAAAACAGACTGAGTAGGCCTATACCCACTCATTTTTCAAATGAAATGATATAGGGTTATCAAATTTGATTTTGAGTTGTAGTTTCATTCTTGCATGATACTTACATGTATGATGATGTACTAAAGTCAATGAAGTCCAACAATTTAAAAAAAAAGAATATCCCAGCAAAAGCATGCTTGCGCTAGCTTTCACCAGACATACCGGTAGTGAAAATTGTACAAGTATAACCCGTCACAGCCTTTTGCCCTAGAGACTTGCAGAATAGTGTTTTTGTTTGTTTGTTTGAGTTTTTTTTTTTTATATCAAGACTAGGCCAATGTTATATAATGTTGATGATTACAAAACCTCACAACAATACTTATGTGCTATGTGGTCAAACTTTCTAATTGCTTCCAAACAGTTTCTTTCAAATGGCAAGTACATGAACTCAACTGCAATTTTGAAAATCTTATACATTATCTGTGTTACATATCCCAACGCTGCCACCATGTTACATAATGCTTAAGAGGTTTATTTAAGAGGTATTCTTGACTCGAACAGAAGAGAGCTAATACACAGGTGTTTTTACATGTGAGGAAAGAGTTTACAAAAAAAGTATGAGTGCGCCATCTAACTGAATATACATTATAGTCTGTCAGTTGACTAAATCACTTAAACAGGATACTGTTACAATCTGATGGAAATATAAATCTCAAAATACCACCCTTGTTGTTTGTCCTTCAGGTCACATTCCGTATGGGGCCAAGTGTGACTTTGAATCTGGACTCTGTGGATGGTACAACATTGTGGGCCTAGACCATCAGAATTGGACCAGGCATCATGGATCAACCAAGTCTACAGGAACAGGACCTAGTGTGGACCATACTTTGGGAACTGAAGAAGGTATGATTCAAATGATTTTATTTCTCATGCAAAACATAATACAATGAATAAGTATACTACAAGAAATATACAATGAATTGAAAAACATAATAGAAATAGCACGAGAAAAGAAGAATGAACTAGAAGCAGAGCTTGTTGAAGTATCAGTTCCTCAGAAGCTGTTTTGCAATATATTTTGAACAAAGTATGCTTAGAAAATCAATAAATTAAAAAATATGTAGCAAAGAAATTATATTTTTGGGGGGGGGGAAATATAAAAGAGAGGAAAAAATGGAGGAAAATAGTAGAAGGCAAAGACAAAGAAAGATTAAAAAAAAAGGAAAATGAATGATTGCAAAATGGTTATATAGTCACTCAAACATTACAAAGCCTCATCAATCTTGGGAGTACTTTTTAATACTAGTCTAGGTATTAGGTAAAAGTAATGAGAAAATGATCAATTGAAATATTTAAAGGAATAGCTTCTGCTGATTATTTTTTTAACATTTCATGTCATTTGAAACTCATTGTATACTTTATGAAGTACATTAATGAAACCATTGCACAATGGTGGATTTTGCATTTGATATTAATGAGACAAGTGTGTGGTAGTTCATCATGTATTTGCTCCAACCCTCAAACATTGTACAATTGATTGATTATTAAAGGACGCGAGCCTTTAATATTCTTACATTTAATTACCTCCATGTATTGCAGGTTACTACTTTTATTACGAGACATCAGGAATTGGAACAGGTGATGAGGCATACATGAGGAGCCCGGTGTTTGAAGCTCCGCCCGCTACTACCAGAAATAGGACCAATCCCATGTACAAGGCATGCAAGGTAATATTCCATGGAAGGTACAATTATGAAGTGATTAGTTGTTCTGGAAAATCCATTATAAGATGCTTGAAAAAAATAAGTCTGCTTGTTTGAAGGTGCTTGAGAACAGTGGAAAGATTTGAGCAAATAAAAATGCTAGAGTTATTTGTTTCTTAACTCTTTTTCTCTCTCATTCTCTCTCTCTCTCTCTCTCTCTCTCTCTCTCTCTCTCATTATCTCTCTCTCTCTCTCTGCTGTTCTTCTTTTTTGTCCCTTTGGAAAACGCAAATAGATATAAGTGACCATAACTTTTGACAAATTTAACTTATTGGAGAAATAAGTCAATTGTTTGTTCTGTGTTATTTTACTGTGTAGCACTTTCGATGGATGTATAAAGACCAAACCCATATTATAAATGATACCATTTATTTGGTTTAGGCAAATATATTTCACTTTTAGTGTACCCATTGTCTTCTATTTTTGTCTACCGGTATTATGAATTCTCACTAGATCTAAGTCATGTATTGTACCTTGAAAATCTGTTGAAAATTCCTTAGTCAGGCACACCAATAATGTATTTGTTTTGTTTTGCATTCACAATTATGTACAATATTTATAATTCTATTTCACTTTCTTGTTCCTTTGAATGTCAACAGTTTGTATTAAGTGAGATTAGGTAACTTTATTTAGATACATTTATTAATACTATGTCTTATATTTTTATATTCTTATGTTGTCTATTTTTCCCAGTTTCGCTTTGCGTACCACATGTATGGTATGGAGCCTAGCACGCTGAAAGTTTTTGCCATCTCTGCAGAAAATCCAGACATTTCAAGTCAACTCTTTAGCGAGTATAATAGGGACATCGATAGATGGATAGAAATTGTTCAGCCAATGCCTGATGTTATTTCAGACAGGTGGGATATGTTTTGCAATTATCTGTGTGTCTCAAATTCTAAAGGTGAAACTAAATTTGCCACAGTATGGTTTTAGTTTTCTAGCTTTGTGATTAGAGACGATCCATGTCTGGAGGTTTTTTCCTCGTGAAAGTGCGTCACATGTCTCAAAGTCATTGCTGTAAAATTCACCTCAATGGTACATCTCTGCATACCCCAATACAAGTGAAATGCTATTTCTTTGATGGAAATGAAACTCAACTAAACTTATCATTGTAGAGTACTGGTCCCAGTTATTGCACAAAATTATTATCAAACACAACTCCCCGAATAGAACTCAAATCCTAAATTAAGATTTCACTTTGTTTTAAGCCAAGATAACATTTATTTTTTGTTAGAGTTCCATATGTAATTTATATGTATTGAATATTCTATGATCGTTATGAAGATCGATCATATAGATATATTTATGCTTTAATCTTATATATATTTTGTATTAATTTTTTTAATAAATCAATATCACCTTTATATTCTGAATTTTTAAAACTTTAATATCAATTTTGACCAGATACTTTATACAAATTGAAGCGACAAGAGGTAGAGGCTGGAAGGGGGATGTTGCCGTTGATGATATCTCGCTCAGCCCAGAATGCTTTGAGAAAAACAATACTTCTGTAGGGTCAACGGCAGGGTACACCAACCCATGGTCTTCAGGGCCGAGGACTACCAACATGACATCATACCCCACCCCCAGCACAGTTATGACAGGTATGTAGAAGAGTAATTACTGTTAAAGTTCCTTTCTATCTATTCTCATGTGAAACTCTATTTATTTATCATTCATGATGTACCTGATGATGGTAAAGAATATTATTGTATTAAACATAGAAGTAGACTCAGGTTTTTAATAGTTTGAATAACTCATTGTATGAATCTTTAAAAAAAAAAAATCTTTTACTTTATCTGTGATCTTGCACTCGTCCCCCCTCTCACTCTCCGTTATGAATTCCCTACCATTTTCAACACTATGATTAATATCATAAATAGATGGAGATTAATTGTGTAACAAGATATACAACAAATACAGGCATGTTTTATGCAAACAATTTTTTTTGCTACTTGGAGTAAACCTCATTTTTTATACATATTGGAGTAATTAAGCGTATCTTTTATTCATGTTAATGCAATTTACATTACGGTGTGATAACATACAATGTACATGTAACTGAAATTTGGCAACTTCATCTTGTAAGAAAATCTGAAATTTGATCCTAGATCCAACCAACGGAGCAACAACCACTGCCACGACCTCTGTTAAAAAGGAGCCCATTCCAACCGTTAACTTCACCTTCACAACCTGTGGCACCCATGGACCTTATGGACCAACCCAAGCCAGATGTACTGCAGCCTACCGCTACACTAACCTGACAGTCAGGGTGCTTAATCATGAAGATTCCATTTCATTGGCAGGGGTGCAAGTCTGGACGGCACCAGAGACGAGGCTCTACAGGTGATTTTTTGAAAGGGATTACTGTTATGTAGTCCTAGATTATATTTGGAGCACTTGTGTAATTTGTTAACCACATACATTAAGATGTATGGAAATGATTTCCTAGCTGTCCAAGATAGCAGTGTGTACATACATTGAATTTTCAGTTATTTGGGCGAATGATAGTTTTAGCATAATGTCCATCGTTTATTGTTTATCCTTTGACTTTATTCTTTTCTGAACAGTTGATTCTGATGAGGAATAGAGTGTGTGTGGGTGTGTGTGTGTATGTGTGTTTGAGAGAAAGAGGGAGAGAGAGAGAAAGAGAGAGAGAGAGAGAAAAAAAAAAGAAAGAGAGGGGGAGAAAGAGAGGGAGAAGACCTTACTCTGTATTTTAATTAAGTGCTTTTCAATTCAATCCAATTCAATTCAATTCGTTTATTCATCCAAATTCACAAGAATACATGGAAATTTGTTTTGGTCACATTTTGTTTGAAAAAGTAACATATATATCATTGTAAAATGATCTTTTGTCTTACTGTTTATAAATTTGGATCTGGGATTAAAACTGTAATCTTCGTTCTGTATTAAAACAAAGTGTATTAATGCCATTTTCCATCCCCAAACATTGTTCACACATGACCTAGTAAATTGCCACAACAAAATATATATGCTATTTTAGGTACCGGTATGAATAAATGGCAAATGGGGTTGAGAAAAATTCACAAGCTTTGAGCATACTTGCTTACCGGTATGTGTTAAAAAAGGAACGTATACGTAAGGCACACAACGCTAATGCCATTGTATTGTCCTGTGATATATTTTTTAATGCGGTTTACCATTCAATAATTTTTCGTTATCAATTCTGTTTTTAAAACATTGATCAATTCTGAAACTACAGTGTAACTGCCTATGGTGCTAGCGGAGGGGCCGGAGTGGAGAACTCTGGGCCAAGCAAGGCAGCCAAGGTAGACGCCATCTTTAATTTGACTGCAGGTGACCAGCTCTTCATTTTGGTCGGTCAAGAGGGCGAGAGTGCATGCAGTGTGAGTTACTCGGTCCTTAAAAAAAAAATCAATATTAAGTATTATGTTGCTCTGATGAAAGAAAGCAGAAAAATCAGAATAGCAGATTGGGAAAAGTTTGATTGAAATCAGACAAATGATAGGAAACTCATGAGTTTTTGAAAGATGTAATTAATACATGTATGGGAATTCCAAAATGTTGGTGTTGGGACTAAGAACCCTACCCTCTTATCCAACACACAGAATAACTAAATTCTTAAAGGGAAAGTCCACTCCAAAAATAACTTACTTTCAAAAGAAGCAGAAAAATCAGACAAGCCAATCAAACCAATCAAAAAACGTTTGAGCAAAATTGGATACCTGATAAGAAAGTTATGAATTTTTAATGACATGAAAAACTTTGAAAATCACAAAACAAATCGGCAACTTACTCATGAGTCTGTAATGTGATTGCCTCACTATCCACTAATTGTTTTCTTTATATTGATAATATAAATTTCCAATCTTACCTCTAAAATCTAATTTCCTCACACCAGCATCCAAGTTATACTTGTAGTGTTTTTGTATGCATGCTCTAATATAGGGTAATCTTTTTTCAGTTAAATCATGAAACATTTGAATTTTGATAAAATATTTACGTAAATATTATTGATTATGAATATACAATATTCAGAAAATAGTATTAATTCTTCAAAGTGAAATTTCATGCATGCAATATGATACAGTTCATATAACCTGGGCAAAGGCATGGGGAAATCAAGTCTTGGGGGATAAAAAGGGAAATTAATAGGATAAAAATACACACAGCAATTGATAAATAGTGAGGCAATGCTTCACAAACTGATTACCAATAAGCAATTTGTGTTGTGATTTTCTGATTTTACACATTTTGTTTTGCTCTGTTTCTCTGCATCAATTAAGAGCAAATTATTTTGGAGTGGACTTAGCCTTTAATTGTTCAATAATATATTATTTTGTAGGATCTTTTTTTTTGGGGGGGGGCCTACATTTATGAATGTACAGTATTCAGATCTGCTAAATTTAGTTCTTATTTTCAGTGTTTCATATTGAAATTTGTCCATAAGAATAATTCAATTTTTCTGTTGTGACATCTCTCAGCCCTGAATCTGACCATGTTCTGTTATATTTAAATAAACAACTGTAATCACCTCCTTGGTTTATTACCTTTGCCCGAGTAGGATCCAGATGTGTTATTTGCTCACTACTGCACTGTGAATGTTGATGAGAAAGCCAGACTGCAGCTGGCTGAGGGAGGCTTGAGTGCAGGAGGTGGAGGAGCTGGTGGAGGAGGAACTTTCATCGCCCTGGTAACTAGGAGATAAACTAGAGTCTATCCTAAAGGACACAATAGGCCTGTCCTCATCAGCTCGAGATTGACAAATAACACGCAATTTCAATTATCCCAATCGCAAATTATCCAGCTAATTTGCGTCCTCATCAGCCCGCAGTTGCAATTAGCGGGATATTTGGATGAAATAATCATCCCAAGATATCTTGGGCTAGAATGCTAAGTTTTGATTTCGAGGTCGAGTCTTGAGCTGATGATGACGTGATTTGTAACTTCAGGCTTATTTCCCAAATCAGAAATAGTGGGCTACATGTATTTGGCAATCTCCAGCTGATGAGGACATATCTATTGAGTTCTGCTAAAAAAAATGCATGGAAATAACATTTCATGAATACACTTTTACTACTACATATTCCACTTTTTGAGTGAAATCACAACAGAATGCAAGAATTTTCTTTTCAGTTGCTGTCTTTCTCTCTTTTAAGTATGCTGTGTAATGATTGTATTTTAAACAGAACAGTAGCAATGCCTTTTTGAATTATATTAATTTTTTCATTTTTTTTGCTTACCGTAGTCTCTTTATTTCATTCACATTATAAAAAAAAACAATTGCAAAATCCTAAGAAAAATCATAAAAAGGCCATAGCCGTGTCCATCACCTGTTGAACATGAAAACTTTACAGTCATGTAGATATTATTATGTAATCTGAATGTGACTTCTATTGAATTTACATTATCGTATGGACATTGCTCTTTACTAAATCTAAGGTAATCCAAATTTTCAAGTCCATTTCTTGAAAGTCTGTGCAATCATCATTATTAAATCAATTTTTCTGTATGACACCTTTAGAAGAGTGAAACTTCACCCGAGCTGACTCCTCTCTTGGTTGCTGCTGGGGGTGGGGGTCTTGCTTTTAGCCCCTCCCCGTCTACCAGTTATAGTGATGGCAGAGTGGGGTCACCAGGCACTGGTGTCTCTAGACAGCATGGGGTCTCAGCAAGGGATACCGCTGGTCAGTATATGCTTCATTTTTACCTTTTGATCATAACAGTGATGATGATGATCATCTTTGATGTCATCATCATCCGCATTCAAAACAGCATGATGAAGGAATATTATGTGATGATGAAAGTGGTCATAATAATGATGATCATGAAATGATGAAATAATGATAGTCAAAATGTGATGATATCATTGTTTTTAGCTTCATGAACATTGATAATAAAAATGATAAAGATAGTGATAATGATTATGATAATGATTATGATAATGATAATGATAATGATAATAATGGTAATAATATGTTAGTGATGATAACATAGAAGATAAAAATATGTATTTAAATTATCTTTATATACTTATTTTGATAAAGGAGCCGGAGGGGGGGGGGGGTGGAATTCTAGCAAAAATTGATAGTGATGATAACATAGAAGATAAAAATAGTATTTAAATTATCTTTATATGCTTATTTTGAAGGCGATATTGACGACAATTATAATGATAAAAGTGATATCTCCTTTTAATAAAAAAACAGTTTTGTTTTGCCTATCATTTAAGGAGCCGGAGGGGGCTGGAATTCTAGCAGGGATCATGAGCCTACCGGTAGATCGTTCCTCCAAGGGGCGACCGGAGGTAGAGAATGTTTGTTAGCCTATGAGGACTTCAGATGGAACACCCATGGGGGCTTTGGAGGAGGAGGAGGGGCGTGTACCACAGGCAGTGGTGGTGGGGGCTACACAGGTATGAAGGGGGGAGGGGAATTATATTCCATTCATATTCATTCAAAGTAGCATTTTTTCTGCTCAGTCATATTTTTCATATTATACGAAGTGTTTCAAATGAGATATACAGTGTATCAATAGCATAGTTCAAAAGTATGGTGTTAAAATATGTCACTTTTATTTGTTAAATATGTAAACAAGGAGGTAACATGTCTTGGGTACATATGTGTAAGATTTACATGGGAATATATTAAAGCAAATGTTGGAAAAAGAAAGAAAGAGAAGATCAAAGATTTGGCGATGAAAGGATCTGGATGAATCCTGCTTGTTTGCCCCTTAGTATTCCAATCTGCAGACTGACTGAATTAACCTACAATACAAAGAGGAAGGTCCATTATGATATGAAATTAGATTCAATGAAAGCAGAAAAATGAGAGAACAGAACAGACTAACCGATATAAAGACATGAAAGAATTGTTAGAAACGAATTCCATCAAATACAATTTAGCAATCTTTTAATCTCCTAGCTCTCCCAATACTAAAACCATCATAAATTTCCTCTCTTTTTGGTCGTTGGTGAAGGAAGACCAAAACAGTCAAACCTGCTTTACTGACCACCTGTTTACAAAAACCACCTGTCTTCAAGGACCATATTTTTTGTTTCCCTTGAAAAAAGTTTCTCATTGAAACATGTACTAAAGGAACCTGTCTACAAAGACCACTTTTTGTGTTTCTCTTTGGCGGTCGCTACATAGGTTTGACTGTGCATGTGTATATCTCTTTCGAACAGACGCTGTGTAATAGCACATGTGCAATGATTATTCCTAGGGTGCATGTATAATTTAATATTTTCTAAGAGGAAATAGAAAGTCTTTCTCTGATATTTGTTTGGATCAATCAGGAGGGGATGCTTCACTAGTCAAGTCACTAGAGGGCGATGGTCAAGGAGGAATGTCCTTCATTCACCCTTCAGTCATGGAACCAGTAGCATAGGGCTCCCGAGGACGTCAATGGATTACATGTATGTGCCCCCCCCCCCCCCCCAAAAAAAAAAAAAAAAAAAAAAAAAACATCAAACTCTGGCTACGGCCCTGGATTTGTAAACAGTCATGGGATTCCTGACTGAAGGTTTATAATTATGATTGCAGCATGAGCTAAATCCAGGATTTTGTTTCAGAATCTAAGACAAAGATACTGAGTCACTTTAAACCCTTCTGCGATCCCATTTTTGAAGAAATGGCAATTATATTCAATTTAGAAATCAAAGCAAATTACATCTTCCTTATTTAGGTTTTAAATAATGATGAGGATACTTAAAAATCCTGTCTTTTGTTGTGTCTAAATCTTCTTCAAATTGTAGACGATCACACTATTGATCTGCATTAAAATTTGTACTCAAACCTACTCAAGAAACTAAATATTGAATATATATAGTTACAAAAGCTTCAAAATCGTTATTCCGTTTAATACTAAATGTAGATATTATGACACCTCATAGTACATTGTTATCCTATCTAAGATGGCAATCGGTTGTTGAGAGAGTGCAATACCAATTTAGAATATGGATGTAAAAGGTGATAAATAATAAAATGCCGACATATATTAAGGATATTGTGTGCTATCGACCGATAAATGTTTATACCAGGTATGCAACTACCTGTCCTCTATTCATTGAAAAACACAAAACTGAGTATTTCAAAAGATCTTTCTGTTATCAAGGCTCCGTTATATGGAATGCATTACCCCCTTCTTTACGTTTATTAACTCACTGGATTCATTTAAAAAACACTGCAAACTCCTTTCTCTCACATAGTTTAAAATAGTACTTACATGAATATTTTACCCCCCCCCCCCCATTTATTTCAATATTTTATCTTGTTTCATTTTTGTGTTCATATAACTTATGTATGTTTATATGTTTTGTAAATATGTTTTTGATTATGTTGATACAGGGCCCCTTGGTCGAGCAGTTTTTATAACTGAAAGGGCTACCCTGTCAAAATAAAAGGACAAATAAATAAAATAAATAAAGTGCAGAACAAGCCTTTGTTTATTGTCCTGAAGAGGTTACTTCCTGCTTTTCTTTTGCATAGCTTATGATTGAGTGGAATATGAATACTGTTTTCAAACAATGTTTTCAAAACACATTAGTGTATGACACCTCTCTCCCCACTATTTTTTTTTTTATTATATCATTGCTAATGAAATATTGATATTCTTGTCATTTTGAATGCAGGAGCAAGATCCGGTGCGGGTGAGGTTTTGATTGTTGGTACTATCTTCTGCCCAGAAGGTTCTTTTAGATCACCTGATAAACAGAGCTGTCTATGTGAGTATATATTCTTGGTGTGATGTGTCATTTGTAATATATTTATTACCAAGTTGTTTGAAAGTATTTAAAACTATTTCATGACATTTTGAGTATACAACTGAAAAATGAAGACATCAAGTAGTAAAAACTAGTCGTTTCTTAGGACCCCTAAACCACCCAAAATTGTGTAGGACAGTCAAACTTGAATTCAGGATTGTCATATGATTATAAACAAGTGTGAATTCACCTTGATCTTGCTCTGTAGTACCTTGCTAAAAAATTATATGAAAGAAGAAATTGTAACTGAAACATATTATTCAAAAAACATATTTATATGGACACTTGGCAGTTCATACTTAGTCGGAAGATTGAACCATGGACTAAAGTTAGTCAGTTTTTAAGAATACTGCCCATAGACACTGTGTACCAAGGAAAACTGTAGTATGCTACGCTGTGTTAACACTTTGATTCTGCATCTGGTATGTTGAATAATTATGCTTTAAATGCAGTAGCTTCCTTTTGATTTTTATCCAATGTGTTATAAAATTTCAGCCACCACAGCCTCACCTCCTGGATACTCCTTCCCAGTTTCAAAGATCAGTATTATCATCATACTTCTCATCTTTATCTTCCTGACCATTATGTCAATCTGTCTTGGTAAGATATGAATACATTATCGCAATTTGAATGCATTATAATGGTATGAATGTATTCTTACAATGTGCATTCTTTCTCCTAATATGAATACAATCTCACAGTATGAATGCATTCTCACAATTTGAATGGATTATAATGGTATGAATGTATTCTTACAATGTGCATTCTTTCTCCTAATATGAATACAATCTCACAGTATGAATGCATTCTCACAATTTGAATGGATTATAATGATATGAATGTATTCTTACAATGTGCATTCTTTCTCCTAATATGAATACAATCTCACAGTCTGAATGCATTCTCACAATTTGAATGCATTATAACGGTATGAATGTATTCTTACAATGTGAATTCTTTCTCTTAATATGAATACAATCTCACAGTATGAATGCATTCTCACTATGTGAAATATTCTCATATATAAATGCATTCTAACAGTTTGACTACCTTCCTACAATATGAATGCTTTGTTGCACCAAATGAATTTGTCTATTCCATGACCTAATTTCATTGAATTCATAGATGACTTTAGGTTTGACATTTGACCTGGCTTTGATAGGTGTATGTATATATTGTTTGTTGTTGTTGATTAAACAGAAATTCCAAGCTTGATAGCAAGTAGCTCTGAAGCAGAAAAATGAGAGAAGGATATTGATTTTAGGATAGCCATGAGTTTGGAAATAGTATTTGAAATAGATATATATTTTTATACCACAGTGTTCAAGTACAAGGAACACAAGTTGAAAGTAGCAGAGAACAAAATGGAAGCCAGTTACCAGCTATCCCAGCTTCGAAACAATTTTGCTATTGATGTCAACCCCTGCTACACAATCCCAGGAAAAGACAGTCCAGCAACATCACATGACCTTAAAGAGCTACCTAGAGAAAATCTAAGACTGATAAGGTAAATTTAAGCCCCACTGTACTACTTGTAGCTACTTGCTCCCTCTATATATATATATATATATATATAGAAAACAATGCCTAAGCGGTGCCTCTTGATCCTCTTTTTCTTATGTTGATTGAGAGCCGAGTTGATGAGATAGTCACCTGCCAGTGACCATACTGGGTGGTCTAATCCCTCCTGGCCAAACTAGTACAGACAGGCTTTAAGTTTTTTTGAAAAATTAAGATAGAGTTTGCAGTCAATGGTAAAACCAAAACATTTTGTTGACATGAATCTTCATTAATTGTACACAAAGGCAACTTCTTACGACAACAAATTTGCATTTTTTGCCAATTTCTGTGTTGATTCTATTTTGATCAATTTAAATGGCATGAAACTTTTCTGATACATGAACCACTCGTGAAAATCATGAACATTTTTTTTGCAAGATCCATTTATTATGGATAAAGCTGTGTAGAGTTCTTATTAGCATTATTATTTGACAGAAACCATTTTTCCTAAACTCATATATCCAGCATCTCTCAAAGATTGGTTCAATATTTGTTTGCTTGTAGAAAGATAAACGGTCTGTCCTCGAATTGGATACAATTACTGATATTGTAGAAGTATGGATGTACAGATTGATATTTACACTCAAACAACATTAAGGTAAAGATACATGTTGCCTACGTCATCAGAAGTTAAACTATCTTTATTAGATTGATTGCCTTTCTATAATTTAAGTGAAGAATATTCACCAAATTGCTTCGTTGTGATTTTGTTTTCATTACTCTCAGTGCTCTTGGACAAGGAGCATTCGGTGAAGTTTTCCGAGGTGTATACCAACCTCCTCACCAGAAATCTGAGATCGACATAGCAGTTAAGGTAAGAATATCCTTAAGAAAATTAATCTAGACATGTGTATAACCGTTGTATGATCCAGCAATAATCCAGCCTTAATGTATAAAGAACACATTTGTAATTTAGTGAATTTTATTTGTTATTTATTTTTAAATCATTCTTCCTAGTAATCTGTTATATGAGGATGAGAATCCCCTTCAATTAGTTATTGATTTATTTAAGCGCAAACCTCATTAGCAACTAAGAGGAAACCTCTGTGAGGAATGAATTCATATGTGAGAGTATACTGTGATATATTTTTGAAGGCTCTTGTTTTGCATGTGAGAGGCCAATGTCCAGGCTATCCCTTTTATAGTGATTATATTATGGATGAGGTGTGTACCCATGGGTCCCAGGCAATGCTAGGGTAATAGCAATTGCAGGGCCTCAGGAAGACCAGGGGGGTGTTTCACAAAGACTAAGATCAACTTTAAGTTGGACTTAACTATGGCAGGCCATTCATGCCACTGGTTGCTCTCACCATTGGTCTCTCCATTATAGTCTTTAGATAATATTTTCCATCAATAATGAATTATCAAATAATTAAATCAAGATTTGTACGTCATGTGAGAGACTAATGCCAGTAAATGGTGAGAGCAAACAGTGGCATGAACGGCCTGCCATAGTTAAGTCCAACTTAAAGTCAATCTTAGTCTCTGTGAAACACCCCCCCCCCCCCCCCCCCACCCCCGGGCCCTGTCTTATAAAGAGTTGCGATTGATCCAAATCAATCGCAAGTTTGCAATCTCCTACCGGTATCTCTTATGTACATAGTTGCGATTGAAGTTTTGATTAATATCAACTTTTTGTAAGACAGGCAGTATAGCCACAATCAGGGTGCAAAACCATTTGCACTTGGGTCCAAAAATGAAGTATGCAGTAGAGCAGTTTCATCAACCCCAAATTGTTCATCCATACCCTAGGGTTAATACCCTGCAATATCCTGGAGGAAACTATCTTGGTTATCATTTTATGAACAGCAACACAACAGGGGGTGGTAGGTGTTACGGACACTACACAAAGCTACTGAAATTGAATTTTCGAGCATTATTTATCTTAACACTCAAATATTTTGCACTTTTTGGGGGAATTTCTTGGCCATTTGTGAAAAATAAAACAATTCACACTCACTTCAGTCCATAAATTAGACTCAGTATACACTTCAGAGGAAACACAAGGTCAAATCTGATAAATTACATTTTTTCAAAACCTGAAACTTTTAAAAAAGCCAACCAAACATTGATTAATGAGACAAATTACAAACTTTAGTCCCATCTGTATACATATAAAAACAAATCAAATTGCTGGGAAGGCTCGTTTCATATCATAAGTTGTCCAAAATAGCTCATTTACAAAATCCTATTAGATGTTACGGACACTACAGTTTGTGTACATGCTATTCTTTGATGCAATATATAAGTAATCCTTTGCTTTTTTCTGCCATCATTGTTGTTGCTGCATATCTTGAGGCCAACAGAGAGTATCTTTTCAAATCCTCATTATCAAGTCTCTTGGATAGGACTTAACCCTAATAAGGCCCCCCCCCCCCTTCGCGATTTTTTTTTTTTTATTGTTCGGGAACGCATACGGATGGCGTCCCGCCGCTCGCTGACTTTTTTTCTTTTGAGCCTTGCGCATCTTTTAAAACGTTTTTTTTTAATCAGGGGGGGGGGGGGGGTACAGTTACAAAGTCACATGACCTTTTGTCTTTGCATATCAGCCCCAAATCGATTTTCGTGATTTGTGTACAAAACATAATTATGGAAATGTCATTTTCTCCTAAAAAGAGATAAAACATTGGTTATTGGGTCTTGTTTTAAGTTTTGGTGTTTGGTTTGGGAGTGAAAATAGTTGAATTGTAGTTAGAAAAAAACAACAACAATAAAATACAAAAGTTGAACAAACAATGAAATACATAAGAAATTATCCAAAAAGAGATAACATAAAGAATAACCTAGCTCTTCCAAAATTGTTGTCGTATTATTGTTTCAAATGGTTTAACGAATACATTTAGTGAAAAAGAATGCTTAAATATAGAGCATATATATGATTGATGGGTAAACAGGTGAATTTTATAACCATAAATATGCAAGTGAGTAAATTTGTCAAAAAATTAAATTTACCATAGTATTCTATACACTTCACTTGACATGCTGCAACATTTTCGCAGTGATCGGCCATTTCACAGCCGAGATCTTAGGGGGGGGGGGGGGGGGAAATAATGCACCCCCCCGGCCATATCGAGACCTCAAATAGCCCAGCCTTTTTATGCTTAAAGGGATCGTTTAACAATGTTAAATCTGAGATACACGGTCCTACGTGTTATCAGTGTCTGTGATATGGTGTAACATTGAAGCCCTAAAAAAAATCACGCTTCAAAATGATCAAGAAGTGCCTCAAAAAAGTAAAAATCTTTAAGTGACCGGTTATACCATACTCGTGTTCCCCAATAGACTGTAGTGTTATGAAAACCGTCAGGCGAACGGTTTTCAAAATTTGTAATTCCAATCATAAATATCTTGATAATCAGACAGGCGATCGGCTTGTAAAAGTCATGGGGTTCCTGACTGACCTAAAGGTTTATAATTATCATTGCATCATGAGCTAAATCCAGAATTTTATTTCAGAATCTGAGACAAAGTTACCGGATCCCTTTAAAGGGAAGTCCACCCTTTCAATAGAAGCAGAAAACATAATTTGTTCTATGTATTTACAGGGGTGGCCGAATTGGAGTGTTTTTTCTTCTTCTCCATCTTCTCTGCTCACTTTTAAACATTGAAAGAAGCATAACTATTTAGACAATTATTAAAGGAAGATGAAAGAAGACATTAAAAAATGATAAAACGAAGAAAAGCATGAGGAAAGATTGAAAGAAGGAAGAAGAGAATACAAAGGATAATAACTTAAGAAAGAAAAGGATAAGAATTAGAAATAGGGAAAAGGAAGAACAATACAATAAAAAAAGAGGATAATACAGTACATCATGTAGCATAATCAAGGTTAGCCTCTTAAAGACATAAGCATGAAAACCCTAGATTTTTGAAAAGACGATGTAATTCATTTTGAGAAGTAACTCTGAAAAGATAAATGTATCTCATAGGACCTTACAAGATTTGCTCAGTGACACAAAAAAACAATATGTTTGGAAAAGAAAGTTCCCATGGTGTCCTTGTATATTACATTTTATTATGTGGTGCCAGATTCAATGTGCATTTGGAGAAGATTGCACTGCATGCATTGTCCTTGTATCGTTCATAGATGTGCTGCAGAATATATTCAGTATATTTAGAACCCATTTTTAGGAACTCGTTAAAATAGCGATGACAAATTTGGGGTCATAAAAAGACTAGTCTGTACTTTATGAAGAGTATTTCGACCAACTAAGTGGTATACTTGTAAAACCTTAGACAGTGTACGCCGAAAAACAGGAACAAAGCATTTATAAAAAGAAGTGATAATTAATATATATGCAACATTATGGTGTAATCAATAATCATTTATGATACGTTTATTCAATAATCCTCAGATGTTTGGTGATCGTTGTTGGTGGTGGCAATTAAACCAGTATTCATAAAATCATCAGATATATTTTATATACAAATATCGGTAAACAAGTCAAAAGCGACCTCAGTCTATTTTTTTCTCTCTCTCTCCATCAAATAGTATGCTTAATTTATCGAGAGAAATTGTGAGCAAAAACGTAGACGGCGAGATATTTCATATTGTGTTAATCCCCTCAAAGGGGTGTCCTCAAAAGAAGATATTTTTTCCATAGTCCTCAGGAGACACGAGTCATACACGTAATGGTGTGTGCCCAGGTATTTATGTGTGTGTGGACATAAAATACAATGTAGTGACTTATACATTTTGTAGGTAGGCAATTAAATGATTAAAATGTTGTATTTTCTCATGCATCATACATATTTCATATCATAGACAGCTTTTACAATGTTAACATTCATTTTAGAACACTGTTATCGAGAAAAAGAGGTACAGTTTGGCTTGCAGGCCTTGATATTACTCCTTCTGTAGTGTCCGTAACACAGATCTGTAGTGTCCGTAACACTGGCTCCTACTCTTTCCTACCCTCGATATTGAAACTAAAACACAATGATGCATTTAATTTGATACTTTATTACATCTAACTAATATTATTTAAATAAAATATTGATATTAAATTAGTCGTAAGTCAATTGTTTTTTTATATTTTAAATTAAATTCATGGAAAATAGCTTATTTGTTTGCGAAATATCATATCCAGGAGAAAACCTTCCAGGAAAAGAGAATTTGTGTTATTCATTCAGAAGAGCAACTGTATCAAATCAAATTTGAATAACAAATTTGTAGTATTTAGTTATCAAGCTGTTTTTTTAGACCATCACACACTTGTGTAAGTTGTGTTACGGACACTACATACGTTACGGACACTACAATTGCCATTTATTAAATTGCAAAAAAAAAACTGTTATGCTTAGCTGAATTGTATTATACCTCAGCTAGTCCCCGGAGGTAGTTACACAAAGCAACTAAAGTATATAAGAACTTTGAAAACATTTTCACATACCAGGAATTACACCGTTATGGACACTACAGGAAATTCCGGACAAAATTTATGATCGGAATGTGGGCATATATTTTTGTAACACTTGTATCTTTGTTTGATTTTTTGTTTCTGATGATAGGACAACATGTTACTCAGAAAATATAACCAATTACCAATTGATATAATGCTAACATATATATGAATTATAGAGGCAAAATTATACACAAAGCTGTTTTTCAAAAAAGCGTTACGCTTGTCTCTCTTCACAGATATAACCACTGTATCGCAATTCTTGGGTCAATTCTCAAGCCGTAAAAAAATAGTGAGTGGAGATAAAAAGGACTACAGGCTGGCATGAAAATATATGGCATATCTTGTGTAAATCCATGGTAACACCTAATAAAAAAAGACACATTTTCAAAGTGCAAATGCGTAACAGCCAAAAAGTGGTATTTCTGGCCCTCTATTACCATTCTCACACAGCCAACACAAAACAAATTCAAACAAAAGTTGCTGCCCGATGAAGAGCTCATATGGCCCAACATTTCAGGCCACAAGACATTTGATTAAACGACTTTGTGTTTCCAGGAGAGATGCGTAACACTGTAGGTAAAATAGCTGCACCCTGATTGTGGCTATACCGAGGGCCCAGTATTCACGGTTGAGGCTACCTGACATATGTAGGTAAATCGAACCATATCATTATTAGTATTTGATACCATATTCTTGTATCTTCTTTCCAGACTCTACCCGAGCATTGTACAGAGCAAGATGAACTAGATTTCTTAATGGAGGCACTCATCATGGGCAACTTTGACCACCCCAATGTTGTTTCTCTGCTGGGTATTTGCTTCAAGGAGAAACCACATTTTATTGTGCTGGAGTACATGGAAGGAGGAGAATTGAAACAGTTCCTCAGGGACATCAGACCCACTGAGGTATATATGGAGTTGAGATAAACAGGAATTATTCAATGGCTAAATTGGTCAGATTGGCAGTAATCTTTTTTTCTTATAAAAAGTCATGTATCTGAAGATCACAATGGTCCAAATTCACAAAGGAGGTTTACATTTAACCCATGGTTTAAATCTTCATTTACATAACCCATTGTTTAAAATTAGCACAAAATAAGTGTAACACAGTCAAGAGGTCCAATATTAGACGCGCGCAAGGCAAGGTACACTTATTTTGCACTAATTTTTAAACCATGGGTTAAATGTAAACCTCCTTTGTGAATTTGGGCCATAAAGTCTACATTTGCAAAGACTATGTGGTAGAAGTGCCAGTTTGTTTTGATAATATTTTGAACCACTCAATTCCTCTCAATAAATGGAGTATGGTATTGTAACAAAAATAGGACTGTGTGTAAAGCAATGTTGTTGTTGTACTCATGCATTGGGTGTATTTTTAAGGCTCTGAATCAAAAGTTGTGGAGCCAAACCTTAAAGGTAAAGACCAGTATTGGAAACGCCCCAATTTTAAAAAATGAAATGGAAGCTCTCATTACCAATCATGTGAAAGAATATGTTTTGACTAATACATGATGATAACAAATTTGCCGGGAAAACGCCTACTAATTCATATATTTGGTAAATTTGTTTCTCTCATGGTCTGTGAGAGATATAGGGTAGTCCCATATACATCTTTCTGTGTATAGTGCTTTAACTTTACAAAGAATGGGCCAAATTTCTTATCATTTTGATGATTCCAGAACCTTGCAGATGCTAGATGATCAACCTTTTCTGATCGATTCCACAACGTTTCTTTCACAATGCAATCGCATGACCATAACTGGTCTTTACCTTTAAAATATAAGCCATTGTTTTGAAAGAATCAATCCAATCCAATCTTATCGACTCTTAGTCCAAACTACTTGTTCAACACTAATATTCTCCTTTGGCAAGAAAATGGTTATGTTTTATATGTAATACCTGGACGTTTCAGTAGCGTGAGGATTGAGGTGAATCCCCTGGAATTCCCTTCTAGGAAAAGCCTTCTATCATCACCATGAAAGACCTGTTAAAGATGTCCAAGGATTATATGACATATGAGTAGAACCTTTTAGAGTTTTATTTGTATTTGGATTTATTTATTAAACCATAAAATAACATCAAATGAAAACAGTAACAGTATATCAATTTAAAGAGTAAATAAAATTATGGTTAGGAATACTGAAAAGCAAAATGCTTGTAACATGGTAATTCTGAAAGAAGAAATGCTTGTAACATGGTAATTCTGAAAGAAGAAAAAGTGAAAAACATTTAAAGATTTAAAAAACAAAAACAAGACTACATACATTATCACACACAGACACACAAACGCACGCACCCTCACACATACACTCACACATACATCCCTGGGACTTCAATTTAAAATATAAAATGTGGGGGGGGGGGGGGGTCATATATAAATTATTCATCCTACAAATGCATATATCCATACAATTTCAGTAGAAAAAGCCTAATAACATTGACTTTTACAATAATTTAATTTGCAATAGTTAAAGTTATAGTAAACTAAGAAAATGACTCCTTCATAATTCCAGAAAAGCCTTCATCCATCACGATGAAAGACCTGCTACAGATCACCCAGGATGTAGCTCAAGGATGCCGCTACTTGGAATCCAGACGCTTCATCCATCGAGACATTGCAGCCAGGAACATCTTACTCACCACCAAGGAGTCTGGTAGAGCTGCAAAGATTGCAGACTTTGGCATGGCCAGGGATATTTACAGGTAAGAATTTGTATCTGCTATTTGTCTTTGCAAGCATTTGATGCGAGGCTGCACTAGAAGATGGATTGCTCCACAAATGTACCCCCGAAAAAAGAACAAGATACTTGATAATGTTACAAACATGAAGGAGTTTTGAAATTCTTTTCATTTTCAGCTATTTCATAGTAGTTGAAGGAATATAGTAATGATTGTTGTATTTGTTCATTCCTTACTTTTGCTGTAGCCCTAAATAATCCTTGATCGGCATTATATATATTAAAGAGGTAGAGGGGTTCCAAAGGGAAAAAATAGAATGACTGTTAAGATATGAAGTATTAAAAAAAAATGATTTATTAACCAATTTTTCAAGTTTTTGTCTAAATATATATACAGTCAAACCTGCTTTAGTGACCACCTGTCTACAAAGACCACATTTTTTGTTTCCCTTGAAAATGGTTTCTCATTGAGAAATGTACTAAATGAACCTGTCTGCAAAGACCACTTTTTGTGTTTCCCTTTGGCAGTAGCTATAGACAGGTTTGACTATATATATGTACCTACGTTCCTTACTTGTGTCTTGTTTGTTTGAAAGGGCTGATTATTATCGCAAAGGAGGACAAGCTCTGCTCCCTGTGAAATGGATGCCTCCTGAAGCATTCCAAGATGGCATCTTCACATCGAAAACAGATGTCTGGTATGTTGATTTTGTTTTCTTGTCGCTTAAATCCCCACTGCACTACTTATAGCTAATTGGGCCCTCTATATAGCCAACAATGCCTTAGTGGTATCCATTGATCTCCCACGATGCCCTTTTTCTTATGTTAATTGAGAGCTGATTTGATGAGATAACCACCTGCCAGTGACCTTGCGGGGGGTCTAATCCCTCCATGCCAAACTAGTGCAGAGGGGCTTTATGTCCTATATACTTGTAATTAGAGTTCATAGAGAGCATAGATCCAAATTGATTACACTGTCTGTGACATCATGTTAGGAATAATAAATTATTATGTAAGTGGCATATTTGTGATTATGACAAGTTTAATCACTGAAATGGTCTCTTTTTTGTTCTTCAGAGATCAAATCTAATTGTTCTGATTATTTGAGGAGGTTTTTTACACCATTCTCCTTTCAACAACCTTTCATCAAATCTATTAATTTTATAAAATCATGCTAGTATATTATCATTTAAAATTGTTTAGGGTCTAGCAACTTGTAATTCTCAACTGTAATCCAAACAACAAATCAAGGTGGCAAAATCTGCAGTGTAGTTTTCCTGTTGTAATTTGAAGTATTGTTTTATTGCTATTGATATGCCATGTCTAAATAAACTGCAGAATACTCCACCGTGCATCGGTACAAAGTATTGGGATAAGGGTTGGGATTTGGATTAGGATTAGCAATATGGTCATTTGGATCAAGATTTGGGTTTGGGTTAGGGTTACTTGTGTGGTAGACTTTTTATTTATAGAGTCTTGATGCCCTTCTGGCTTTCAGCACACGACACCATGTTTTTGTCTTATGTTTTATATATTACATGTTATACCAATGGAAAACAAATTTCTGTATTATATTATGGACAATAAAATCTTGAATCTTGGTAGGGTATTTTGCTGTTCCAGAATACTACATTTCTAAAGTGTTTGTGTTGTGTGCAGGGCATATGGTGTGCTGCTATGGGAGATCATCTCCTTAGGATTCATGCCGTATCCTGGGATGAGTAATCAGGAGGTGATCCAGTTTGTATCAGCAGGAGAGAGGATGAACCCACCAAGAAGCTGTCCCCAACCTGTGTAAGTATCAATGCATAAGTTATATTGAGGGGTCAGTGACACAAAGTCATAACTCCATTTTGGCCATTTTTAGAAAAAATGGTTTATGTGTCACTGAGCACTTGGGCCTTTAGAGAAAGTTGAGTTCTGGGAAGAGGTGAACAAATAATTTGTGAGCATTATCATTGCTATTATGCAAGTGTGGAAGAACATCAGATAAAAAATGTTCCCTGAAAAGCATTGCTCTTTGAATGCTTTCATATTCTAAATATGGCATGTAACAACTTAAAAATCGGGACAGATTTTTATGCCACATGTTTGTGTAGCCTCATATACATCATTTTGTGTACATGTAATTTTTTACAAATAATGGTCCAAATTTCTTATCATTTTGACGATTCCAGAACCTTGCAGTAGACACCAATACTTAAATGCTATAGATGATCAACCTTTTCTGATCAATTCCACACCTTTTCTTTCACAATGTTATTGCATGACCAGAACTCAACTTTATCTTTAAGGAGTCAAGTCTATGTTTCACTAGCCATTGACTTCAATTGAGTGGAATTAAGTCTTTGTGTTTCTTGGAAAGCCCACATTTTTCTGAACATTTTGATATCAAATACTCATCTTGGCGTAATATGGAGTTATGTCTTTGTGTCACTGATCCCTCGATATAGAGTGTGATCGATGCCCGATAGGCTGTCTCCCACAAGCTCTTTGATTTTCATTATTTCCACATATTTGGCTTGATAGTAAAGTTAGCTCAAGTTAACAGTCTCTTCTTCATTTTACCATGAATCTAGTTGACAAGATTTTTTTTTAAAGATTTCTTCATTTGTTTCTCATGCATTTGAAGGAGCAACATTTTCAGTTGCTGATTGTAAGTCGCTGTACACTGTATGTGTAATGTTACATGGATTCATCATCTCTCAGCCTCCATTGACCAAATCTGTCTGAATGACAGTCAATGCTAAGGATAATGGGGTGGTTTTCTTTTTTGTTGATTTTGTGCTTGCCTGGCGCCAGCAATATGATAGTTTCAAACACCAGCCTCTTTCTACACCCGTATGTTTCTACATCCACATTGCATGGTTTTTGACTGCCTTCAAGAAAGTTTCTAGGACTCCCTACAGCCTACTATCCTAATCCAACATCATCTTTTCTAATAAAACTTCTTCGAGTACGGTGATGTCAATCTCAATCCTGGGCCCAGTAATTTCAACCACACTGACCAGATTGGTATGGTTCCTGACGGTCATCCTACCGATGTCTGTTCTGTCTATGATGTATCGTACGTGTTGAAATGCAAGCCATCCTTAGTGGGTTCAAATCCCACCACTGCCCCCATGTGATGTTTTATTTGTTAGTTAGAATGAGGGAGTCCTGAATAATAACTCAACAAACGGTGATTTGCTGTGCCTTAACTCTGTCAGGCTGTAAGGTTTATTATGATGCGCTAGTGCCTTTTGGTAAGGCATTAATCCTCATTACCAGGTCCCTCAGAGAGGACCTAAAGCCGTCTGTCGTCTGGTTGCTTACTAACAAACATTTATGCTTTCTTAGCAGCCAGGTAAAATAACCACCACCACCAAATAAGTTATATTGGAAGGCTCTCTAAGCCCTCTTGCATTATAAATATTATAGTCTCAAGTAGATCACGTAAAAAGGAATTTGGTTACACCGACCAAATCCCACTAGTTCCTCTCTGTGATGATGTGTAGGGCGCAATCCTTGATCATGGGGTATCTAGACATGCTGGGGAAGTTGGGAGAGCGTCTTGTGAAAAGAGGACACATTGTGGACAGAGAGCAGGGGGATGTTTCACAAAGATCCTATAAGATGAACTTATCTCTAAGTTGGACTTTACAATTATGGAAAGCTGTTAGCATCTATGTAATTATTTTGTAAAAGATATTTTAAAAGGCAGAAAATGTTGATTCAAATCATTCATATGTTCTATTATCATGGGAGATTTCATGTTCTTGATGTGGAATTTAGGAAAAGTCTAAAATACTTGAATTTTCGCTTTTAAATATATTTCATTATAAGACTACAAATGGCTCTCCATAATATTTATGTACAACTTAGAGTTAAGTTCGACTTAGGATTTTTGTGAAACACCCCCAGGAAGAAGGAAACAAAGACAACTTTCTGCTGTTGCCTCTAATCTTTCTTCTTACATGCCTTTTGCTATTAATAGTTATCAAAATAGAGGTATATAATTCACCCCATTTGATGACAGTCAACTCTTTTAACCCTTTTGATCCGCTTTGAATCTTAGATTTAATTTGATGTCCCAGTGCTGGCGTCACATCCCTGAAGATCGACCACCATTCACCACCATCTTAGAAAGCATCAATTACTGCTTACAGGTGAGTGCAGGACTAGACCTGATGATATAGCTCTAGTGATAATAAATATTGCATTTTTTATTTAAAAAAAAGTTCAGTTCAGTTCAAATTCACATTTATTCGGCAAAAGATAAAAACATCAAAATGAAATCATTACAAATGAAATCATTATAAATACCGGGATTGCTAAAATAAGTTAAAAACTTGTAAACAAGCAACCCCAAACATAAAAAAACATACAGATACTATACAATACAATAAGATGAAATACGATACAATACAATACAATACAATACAATAATAGTAATGTTACATGCTAACAAGATATATGAATCAATTATGTATTTCAATAAATCAATAAGTGGCAAGTATTGTTCTTTTCAGTTTAAGTTTAAATGCGTTCTGGTTCTTAATACCCTTTAAATAACTTGACATGGAGTTCCATTTGTGAGGACCTTGATATCTAATTGATTTATTTTGCAAAAATGAGTTAGTGAATTTTGGTAGATGGAAGTCATTTTTTTTTCTTGTATTAAAGGAGTGGACATCCGAGTTCAAATGAAAACTGTCATAAAACGTTACTGGTAGCAAATTTGAGTAAATTTAAGGATTTAAATAATGAAGAGGTGTGCGCCCTGAAGGAAGCATTACAGCACAACCGAACAGCCCGCTTTTGAAGTATGATAAGGGGCTTTAATAAATTATTAGACGTTCTCGCCCAAACTAAATTACAGTACGTTAAGTAAGGATATATAAGAGTGTAGTAAAGAGAAAGCATGGTAGAGGATGGTAGAAAACTTTTGAGCTTATTCATTACACCGACTTGGGACCGAATCTTCCTGGAAATTAATTCAATGTGTTTTGCCCATGTAAGTTTGTTGTCAATGGCAACTCCTAAAAAATTGGCAAATTGTACCTGGTCAATACAGTTACCATCTATTGTCAGATTAACATTTTCAATTAAAGTATCATTTTTTTTACCAAAGTTACAAAATTGTTTTTTCAATGAAAATTTAACCTTACTCCATCAAGCCCTTCATAAAGAAAATAAGGCATGTGCAACTTTGTTCAGATAATACTCTACCATGTTGGTTGCCTGACTAGTATCTCACTTGTGGTGGCATCAAAAGGACTTCATAATTAATCACTTTGGCAAAGTTGAAGAACTGAAATGTCTGACTCTTTACACAAATATGTTTAATGGCTCAAATGATCATAAGATGCTACCATGACAAGATTATTTATCTGCCTATCTGAATTGAAAATTACGTAGTATGATTTTTGAATATGTATTGTCTTTGGAAGCCTTTCAAATAGATAGATTGATAATTCACAATAATGACTGGGCAACTAAATTACTTTAGTATGAACTTTTCCACTGTTTGCAGGACCCAGATGTTTTAGAAACACCACTTCCCAAGGTGCTGACTGAACGGAAGAAACAGCTGACAATCATGAGACCTCCAGACCCCAAGAGATCCCCTGTCCTCAGAGTGGAAAGGGTCATCAGGTCATGCGAGCCTTCACCCTTCAGTAGCCAAAGGGTGTCGCCCCTCCATCCCACCCCATCCCCAACACACCAGCCCACATGGGTTGGGCAAACGGGGGAAGGGTCATCCCAACAGGGGCTTCATCATCAGGATGAAGGGATTGATAGAACTTACAATGGGAAGAGGTTTCAGGACCATTCACCTCTCAACTCGTCTTCGATACTACTCACCAACAAATCGTATGGATTCAGGAGTCTTGCAAGAGACATTACAGGAGATGCTAAAGACAGGACTTGCCATAATGGAGTAACTGAGAATTCATCACAAATGAATAACCTCAGTCCAACCAGGCATGTTAATGAAATAGAACAATCGAGTGAGATGTCGACTCTGCTTCACGTAGGGAGAAGCGGGTCTTCAAGAAGTGACTCTCTAAGCGATATCCCTGCAGGAAGCAATCAGGAACCTGGATGGTATCCTGATCCAACATGTAAACCAAAGAGATCTGCGAGCATGTGCCACGGCGAGGCATCCAGGGAGCACACCAAGTCTCCCTTGACACGAGGCCTCAGCTGGACCCAAAGGCCTCCTCAATCACAAGACAATCAAAACCCGCAAGATACCAATATCCATCGTTCCACAAGTCTTCCTGGTATCCCGGTCATCGTGACCACGCCCAACCCTATGTCGAAGGACAGCATCGCATTCAAATTGCAGCTGAAGACCGCCACCAATGGCAGCTTCTCTTGGGCTGGAAGCTTGAAGAAAAAATTGAGCAAAAAGTTGTCGAGGGACTACCGTAATACAGATAGCGAACCGCTGGTAAGTGAAGAGAACATTATCAACAAACAATCACAGGATACGTTTTTATAGCGCTGGTTAAGAAGCATTCTGTCATTTCTTTTGCTTTTACCTGGAATATCTGATGACTCCAATTCACTCTGGATGATTACAGCATTTGTTATTTGACCTTTCTGCAAAGACAATTTAAATACGGAAATGTTGATATCTGCTATCAAAGTGCTGTAGAAATATATTTGAAATTGTTGATACTCTGTACATGTTGATTAACCATCATATGCTGCATATCTTATTTACTCCTACTTTATATCCATAAATTAAGCTGATACGTTGAGATGTGCACATTCAATGAACAAAATAATGTATGATTTTAAAGCACAAATTGAAATATATGTATGTTGCAATATTACAAAACACAGAATTATTATTATTCATATCAACTTTTTCTACTGTTTTAATAGATGAATTTTTAATGCTGATACTTGTTTATCTTGGAATATATATGCAATAACAGATAATGATAAATCTTATGTATATGTTGGATTATTTTATATTTATATGTAAATGCTTCAGCCCTGTACGTGATGTTGCATTTGCAAGCTAAGAGGGATATGGCAAATCTTGTATAGACCAGTTTTAGGGGATCCAGTTTGATGGACTATATACATCAGGCGATAATACTTAAAATATTATTTTCTTCAATAAAGTCTTTCAATGACCAAATCTTTCAAACAATTTTTTAGTTTCGATGATCAGAATTTTTTTTGTTAACACTAATTTTCTAGCAACATTTTGTGTGTGCGCGCCTTAATATGATGTCAATAAAAACATTGTATCGTTTGTATATTTTGATGTAACTGATCTCTTTGGAATATAAATCAGAACTATTACCCTGTCAGAAACATTGATCAAATGTACCATGCACTGAGAGGCTTCTGTTGAAAATATGGATTCTCCAAGATGACTGCCATATAGTACTACTTTCCGAGGGGGGTCATTTTAATGGTGCCTCAAAAAAAGGGCACAATATATTTGATTTACATTTCTCATCGAAATAAGAAAATAAAGTGTGAACTTTAAAGAAAGAAATCTTTGTCCAAAGACTCATGGTGTATTGCTGGTTAATAATAATATTAATAATAATAGGATTTATATAACGCCTCTTCTAGAGGATACAAGGCGCTGTATTTTTAGTCTAAGGACAAATTAAAAATTGTAGAGGTATTTTTTCAGATGTTCTTTTTAAGAAATCAAGCAAAGATTTGAAGGATTTGAAGCCAGCTTTTTCAGTTATGAGAAAGGAAGGAGCTGATAAAGTTATGTAAGCAGACAGGGGCTTAGCTAAAGGGAGGGGGTGTATCAGGATATTGTCTGTAAAATTGCGCTGCTGTCGGTAAAAAAAGAGAAAAGGGGGAGGGGAAAATGAGAAGAAAAGAAAAGGAGAGAAGGAAAAGAAAGGAAAGAAGAGAAAAGAGAAAGAGAAAGAGAAAGAAAAGATGAAGGAGAGTAAAGAAAAGAAAAGAAAGAAAAGGAGAAAAAAAGACAAAAAGGAAACAAAAGAAACAGGAGCTGAAAGAGAGGGTAAGAGTCTGAGAGAAAAGGGTTGGGAGTAAGAGAGAGGGGGGATGTAGGGTGGAGTCACCATATCGAGGGAGCAAGAAAAATACGCATAGATAATTATGTTGCTGTGTCTGTATTCTTGCTCAATCCTCGTGTACTATATCAATGCAGAAGTTTGAAGTCGGTGAGATGTATTATGTTGGTCGGCCGGCAATTTTATTTTCCCTAAGAACTGTGACTTTTTATCAGACAAAGAAACGTTTTTGAAAATTCAGACAATGATTAAGAGTTGGTACAACGAATCGTCTTCTTTCTCTAATAATTTATTGAAACTGAATTCAGACTAGGATAAAGAGTTGAAAACAGTACAACGAATTGTCTTCTTTCTCTAATGATTTAATGAAACGTCGAAGCTTCAACACGTTGCGCGGGAGGTGGGCGGGGGAACTGGGGGAAACCGGAGAGAATTAAAAACTTTCATTTTCAGCAAAAATGATGAACTTACCCCTTGCCATTTTTGCCAAAAGGTGGCGATTTTAAGATTTATCCTAAAATTGTCCTTTCGCCCCATTTTGGAAACAAAAGGGGATCAATATAATTCTGAAGGCAATCTGGGACTTTCATGATGAGGAAACAAAGAAGATTGAAAATTTTCATTTTTGGCAAAAATGGTGAACTAACCACATGCCATTTTTGCAAAAAAATTCAGGTTGTACAACTTTTAGAAAAGTGCAGTTGGGTCTAAACACTGAATACACAATGTAAAGAATAAAAAAAGTTAATCCAGTATATACCCACTATGCAGACGCGGATCCAGGATTTCTTGGGGGGGGGGCCGAAATTTGAAAATATGCGAGCCAATTATTTGTACGTAATGGTGACCAGCAGTGACGTAATGAGCAAAAACGTTAGGGGGGAACAAAAAAATCTGCATCACCCATGCCCAGGAAGCTCAGGGGGTATGGGCTATTAATGGCGGCCAGATGAGCATATTTTGATAATTCATGACACTGGCAGGTGACTAATTGGCATGGGGTCCTGGGGACAGAGCCCCCGGAAGCTCAGGGGTTTCAGTCGTTTACTTACGGTCAGATGAGCATATTTTGATACCTTATTTGTGACACTGGCAAGACACTAATTGGCGTGAGGTCCAGGGGGTGGAGCAGGGGGGTTGCTATATAAAGGGGGGTGTTAGGCTACTGTCGGTAAAATTACGCTGCCATCGGGAAAAGTGAAAAAACGAGGGAAAGGGAAAACTGAAATGAAAGAAAGGGAGAGAAAGGGAAAACTGAAATGAAAGAAAGGGAGAGAAAGGGAAATAAATTAAATTACCGACAGATTAGCATCTAGAGGACTGCTTTAGGGCCATAGATGGGGTCCAGAGGGCAGAGCCACCGGAAGATCAGGTCAATTTAATTATGGTAAAATGAGCATATTTTGATACCTGTTTTGTGCCACTGGCAGGTCACTAATTAGCCAAGGGGCCCGGGGGCAGAGCCCCCTGAATCCGAAGGGTTTTAAGCATTATATGACCGACATATCAACATCCAGGGGTCCACTTTAGGGCCCTAGGTTGGGTCCAGGGGGAGAGCCCCCGGAAACTAAAGGGTTTTAGGCGTTTAAATACGGTCAGATTAGCCTATTTTGATACGTCATTATTTTATGAGTACGCCAGTGCCCCCCCCCCCCCCCGATCTACACCTTGTTGGCGCAAAAAATTTGCAACCCATCTTTCCCTTTCTCTCCTCTTTGCTGGGGGAGGGAGGCAACAGCCTTTCGCCTCCCCCCCCCCCCCCCCCCCGATACACACGTTGTTGGGCAGATTAATCCCAACTGATCTCCCCTTCATTTCACTCTTTTTTTCTTCCCTTTTAGCTCTCCTCTTTCCCTTTCTTCTCTCTTATTGTTGGTGGGGGCGGGGGAGGCAATGGTCTTTTGCCCTCCCCCCGATCCACAACTTGTTGGCGGGAAAATTGCAACTGATGTCCCCCCTTTTTCCAACCCTTTATTTCCCTTTCCTTTTCTATTATTTTTAAGATAAGGGGGGGGGGCAACAGCCTGGGAGGCACCCTTTTCCCCCTCCCATCTCCTTCTTTTTCCCCCTTTTTCTTTACTTCTTCCCTTTTTCTTTACTTCTTCCTCTTTTATTTCTCTTCTCTTTCCCTTTCCCTTCTTTTCCTTCTCTCTCTCTCTCTCTCTTTGCTGGGGGGGGGGGGGGGCCCGCTTCTCCCCCTGGATCTGAGACTGGTGGTAGAGATAGGAGGGTGATACAGCTAGGATGGTGGTAGAGCTAGGATGGTAGAAGGGGAGGATAGTGTGAGAGGGAGGATAGTGGTAGAGGGAGGATTTTCATGGTCGTATACGATGTATATTGAGTGGAAGAACAAGATAGGTGGTCTTAGTAGAGGTAGGATGGTAGTAGAGGTAGATTGGAATGATCTGTAGGATGGTGGCCGAGGTGGATGGTAGAATGGGTGGGTGGATGGTAGTAGAGGAAGGATGGTAGTAGAGTAGAATGGAAGAACGGGTAGGGTGGGGGTAGAGTGGGGGGTGGACGTAGGATGGTAGTAGAGGTATCATTGTAGAATGGGTAGGGTGGGGGTGGACGTAGGATTGAAGAATGGGTAGGGTGGGGGTGGAGTGGATGTAGGATAGAAGTAGAGGTAGAATGGAAGAACAGAAAGGGTGGTAGTAGACGTAGGGAGGTAGAATGGGTAGGGTGGGGGTAGAGTGGGGGTGGACGTTGGATGGTAGTAGATGTTGGAAAAAATAGGTTGGGTGGTAGTAGACGAAAGATAGTAGCAGAGGTAGGCTTGAAGAACAGGTATGGTGGGGGTAGGCATAGAATGGGGGTAGACGAAGGGTGGGGTGGACGTAGGATAGTAGTAGAGGTAAAATGGAAGAACAGGTAGGGTGGGGTGGGGTGGATGTAGGATGGTAGTAGAGGTAGGATGGTAGTAGAGGTAAAATGGAAGAACAGGTATGGTGGGGGTGGGGTGTATGTAGGATAGTAGTAGAGGTAGAATGATAGAACAAGTAGGGTGGTAGTAGACGTAGGATGGAAGAATGGGTAGGGTGGGGGTGGGGTGGATGTAGGATGGTAGTAGAGGTAGAATGGAACAACAGAAAGGGTGGTAGTAGACGAAAGATAGTAGCAGAGGTAGGCTTGAAGAACAGGTATGGTGGGGGTAGGCATAGAATGGGGGTAGACGAAGGGTGGGGTGGAACGTAAGATAGTAGTAGAGGTAAAATGGAAGAACAGGTAGGGTGGGGTGGGGTGGATGTAGGATGGTAGTAGAGGTAGGATGGTAGTAGAGGTAAAATGGAAGTACAGGTATGGTGGGGGTGGGTGTATGTAGGATAGTAGTAGAGGTAGAATGATAGAACAGGTAGGGTGGTAGTAGACGTAGGATGGAAGAATGGGTAGGGTTGGGGTGGGGTGGATGTAGGATGGTAGTAGAGGTAGAATGGAAGAACAGAAAGGGTGGTAGTAGACGTAGGGAGGTAGAACGGGTAGGGTGGGGGTAGAGTGGGGGGGGGGGTGGACGTAGGATGGTAGTAGAGGTAGAATGGAAGAACAGGTAGGGTGGTAGTAGAGGTAGGCTGGGAAAACAAGTAGAGGGTAGACGTAGGATAGGGTAGACTTAGGATGGGAGAACAGGTAGGGTGGGGGTGGACGTTGGATGGTATATAGAGGTAGGATAGAAGAATAGGCAGTATTGAGGTTGACAAAAGATTATAGTAGAGATAGGATCGTAGTAGAGGCAATATGGAAAATGGGTAGGGTAGGGTGGGGGTAGACGTAGGATGGTAGTAGAGGTAGGATGGTAGTAGAGGTAAAATGGAAGAACAGGTAGGGTGGTAGTAGAGGTAAAATGGAAGAACAGGTAGGGTGGGGGTGGGGTGTTTGTAGGATAGTAGTAGAGGTAGAATGAAAGAACAGGTAGAGTGGTAGTAGACGTAGGATGGAAGAATGGGTAGGGTGGGGTGGGGTGGATGTAGGATGGTAGTAGAGGTAGAATGGAAGAACAGAAAGGGTGGTAGTAGACGTAGGGAGGTAGAACGGGTGGGTCAATGTCGCTATTCATAAGGACCGCTATTCATAAGGTCCGCTATTCATAAGGTCCACTATTCATAAGGACCGCGCTATTCATAAGGTCTGCATTTCATAATTGGAGAAAAGGGTCATTATTCATAAGGGTCATTATTCAGAAGGACCGCTATTCATAATCAAAGAAGAGGGTCGGTATTCATAATAGGAGAAGAGGGTCGCTATTCATAATACGACGTGAGGGTCGCTATTCATAAGGGTCCCTATTCATAATATTACAAAAGGGTCGGTATTCATAACACAGAAAGAGGGTCGCTATTCATAATAATAAATGAGGGTCGCTATTCATAATACGAAATGAGGGTCGCTATTCACAATGGAAAATGAGGGTCGCTATTCATAAGGGTCATTATTCATAACGGTCATTATTCATAATCAATGAAAAGGGTCGCTATTCATAATAGGAGAAGAGGGTCGCTATTCATAATATGACATGAGGGTCGCTATTCATAATAGGAGAAGAGGGTCGCTATTCATAATAGGAGAAGAGGGTCGCTATTCATAATACGACATGAGGGTCGGTATTCATAATAGGAGAAGAGGGTCGCTATTCATAATAGGAGTAGGGGGTCGCTATTCATAAAAGGAGAAGGGGTCGCTATTCATAATACGACGTGAGGGTCGCTATTCATAATAAGAGTAGAGGGTTGCTGTTCATAATAGGAGAAGAGGGTTGCTATTCATAATAGGAAATGAGGGTCGCTATTCATAATACGACGTGAGGGTCGCTATTCATAACAGGAGTAGAAGGTTGCTATTCATAATACA